AACAATAGATGGTTTATGTCATTTCAGTTTGGTATATGGTTATGTAATATTCATTAAAATTTATATTCATGATAATTCATCAGCAACGTTATGGTCTTATAATTATGGTTTATATTCATGAAATTTCAACAGCGACGTTATAATCACATATCATAATTTATATTCATGATAATCCATCAACAAAATTATTTTCTTATAATAAAATTTATATTCATGATATTTCACCAGCGATGCTTAGGTCTTATATTATAATTTATATTCATGATATTTCATCACCGACTTTATGATCACACATTTATATTCATTTCATTAGAGACGATATGATCGTATATTATAATTCATATGCATGATATTTCATCAGCGTTGTTTAGGTCTTATATTATAATTTATATTCATGCTATTTCATCTTTTTGGTCATATATTATAATTTATATTCATGATATTTCATCAGCGACGATATGGTCATATGTAATAATTTTCATTCATATTTCAGCAGTGGCGTTATGGTCATACATTGTTATTGTCATATATTATGATTTATATTCATGATATGTCTTCGTTTTGGTTATAATATAATCTATATTCATTTGAATTAATTTATATTCACGATATTTCAGCAGTGGCGTTATGGTTATATGTTATGATTTATATTCATGATATTTCATCATATTCATCTGTGGCGTAAATGGTCATATATTATAATTTGTTTTCATGATATTTCATCAGTGACGTTTTTTATATGCATGATAGTTCACCAAATATGTGATGTTCATAATTATATTATAATCATATTCACAATAATTCAACATCGGCGTTTTGTTCACATTATTTTTTCTTATTTCACTGGATGTGTTCATTTAGTTCATGATATCTCGTATTTATGTTCATATATATTTGATATTTCTCCTGTTGTTTGAATCTCATATATTGTATTCATTCATAATATTTCATCAGCATTTGTGCTAAGATGACCATTCATTTTTTTACTTTCTAATACATGTACTAAATACTAAATCTTTGGTAATTTAATCGGGTGACTCAGAAAAAAGAATAACACTTTTCATTTCAGGATTATTCGTACAGTATCAAAGTTATGGCCATACAATTTTAACTTCATATAATTATAGATATATAGGACATCTTTTCACAAAAAAATTAGCTTCTTGGTTTGAAACGCTTCGAAATGGCAGCAGTTTAAAATTCATCGTCAAAAATTCCAATGGCGAAAGTTTAATTTAAGCTTTATTTGACCAAATGGGCTATGTAACAGCCAATGTCAATACAAACTGCCAGAATTCTTCAAGATTTCGTAAAGATATATTTCATTCCATTAGTCCCTATTTCTGTCTTTAGTTCTTGTTTCCAGAAGAAATTTGATTATCCAATGTAAACTTTCTCAACTTCAGAGTCCCGAACACCGTAGTCTTCTGTATCGAATCGGGAGATGGGCGAGGGTTGGTCATCTATCCTTTTAAATTAAATACCCCAAATTTCTTAATCCGAGGGCAATTTTGTGTTGGAAAAAGTGTTTATGGGCAGTTTGTACTGAAAATTGTGTTCACCATTTACTGTTTGCCATTAGTATCTAGAAAAATAGCAAGGAATTTTAAAAATACTGCTAATTCAAACTATGAAGCTATTTTCTATTGAAAAGATCACTTATATATCCATAGTTCTTAAGTCAAAATATTATGATCTTAGTTTGATACTTTATATAAAAAATCATAAAATGAAAAGTGTTATGGTTTTTTCTATGCCACCCGATATATAAATTTAAATTCGTTACTTATAATTTTAAATCAGAAATACAAAGATGTGCGTTTATTCATTATTCATTTAACACTTTTTTATTGTAATTATTATTTAGTTATCCAAACTGTTTTGATATAATTCTTCATCCTGTCCTCATTCGTCCAATGTACCAATAGCAAAATGGACGAACGCAAATCTCCACTTTGATTTAAATTATTTTTCTATTATTGATATTTATTTATCAATCCAATTAAATCTAAAAATTAATATCAACCACGAAATAGACATGTGGGTTCTTTGTTAATCCTCATATCGTTTTTCTATGATCGATTTTAAAACAATCATAGTCGAAATGTTGGAATTTTTGACAGTTGATTTCTTTTCTTCTTCACCTTTCTTTTTTTAAAAGTTCAATCCCAATGACAATATCCGATTAGGATGTCGTGTGCGCTCCACGTGCTGTAGACCTGCCAGCACGGTTCAATGGGGTCAGTTAGATAGATGAAATGGGATGAAATGACTGAGCTGTCAGATCAATTTCTTCAAATCTATTTGAAATGTGAACATTATTAATTTGTGTCTGAGTGAAGATAATATCGGGGTTATTAGAAGGGATTAATTAATAAGAAAATTGAACGGAATTTTACCTTTGAAATTCTGGTTTTATATCTCTCAAGATGAAATCTCGTTGTCTTGTAAATGGAAATATAAGTCTATTTCCTGTCCAGGGATGTCTAAAAATTCAACATCTAACATCAAGAAAAAATTCAGATCAAGAGAATATTGAAATTTCAGATTGACATTGCAGGTTAAGGAACAGTGCAAGAAATTTAGACCTTGGAAGATTTCAAGTTCAAATTTTGAATTTATATTATGAAGTTTAAAGAAGAAATTTCAGATGAAGAATTTTTGAAATTTCAGAAATATAAATTTATATCAAATTCTGATATGAAAGAAATTCCAAAGAAAGAAATTTCAGATAAAGAGATTCATAATAAATAATACATAATAATAAAATTTTAGATGAAGAATGAAAATCTTCTTAATAAGTATTGAAGAATTCCATTTAAAAGAATTTGAATGAAATATTAAAGAATTTTAGATGAAACATTAAAGAATTTTAGATGAAATATTGAAGATTTTAGATAAAATATGACAAATTTTAAGATGATAAATAATCAGACTGCATTTTTAGTTACCGGATATAGAATGTTATTCATCTCCAATCAGTTAGTCTTTTTTTTTTTTATATATAATTCAACTTTTGTTTCAATCATTAATTTGTGTGTTCTTATATACGATTATGACTCCGCATTACTATAAGCGGCATGATGCTTTTCTTGCTTTAGGTGAAAATAGATACCCACAGTTATCATCCAATTCTTAAATCCTCAGTTAATGATGATTTTTCAAAATCGACAAATAGAATTCTTCATCATCTTGAAATTATCTAATGTATTTGATGTTCAGCATTCACGTATTTAAGTATTTAATTACAGCGCGTGTAAGTTAGTAATTAAACAATGTCATTAGCTAAAGATCACGTGATATCGTCGTCTGGCTAATCCAAATGTAATCTGAAATCATGTCATTTTAAGACAAGAAAACAGGTTAGAATCCTGATGGTTTTGGTTGGCAGCACGTAATAACATTTATCACTGAATCACAGACTGGCCATATATTATCCAAGTAAAACAGGACTACAGGATCATCTCTTGTCATGATATTGAAGCACGTACATTTCAGGTTGTTTCTTTTTAAAGTTTGGTAAAGAAGAAATTTCAAGACATCGACGCCCTGAAAGACCGATCCAACTTCATTTTCCCATTTTATCTAAGACAGTATAAAACAAGACGATGGTGGGCTTTCAAAAAAATGATTTGGTTGAGTGTAGCCTAATTTTGGCTAAGTTAAGGACGAGCAATAAGTCATGAGCGTGGAATTCGTTCAAGATGGATCAGAATCCAAGCATATATATAGCGTTTAGATATTGTTTGAAGGCCAATTTGAACGTGTTTTGGTGAAATACACTTCACTAATGAACAAAAACAAACTTTAGATGAATTTCCGGTTTGATCAAACAATGTTAATTATACAAGGGAAAACCGACGACAAAATAATGTAAGAGAATATAAAAGTTTGGTTTGCGTTTTAATCAGATTGTGGGTTTTAATAAAATTACGAATGCATTAAACAACGTTTGGTTAGACAAGATAATCATGGAATATTCTCATAATCCAAAACTCTTTGATGGTAATCTAGTCAGGGAGTAAGTGATTGGATTTAGAAAAAATATTAAATTTGAATCGAGCAGGCATTGTTTTATACACGTCCGATTGATAAAATATATTGTTGGTTGTCAGAATATTTAAAGCAATAGAAGCCAACGATGCCAATTTTCGGTTTGTTGAAAAATGAAATGAAATGAATGGAGTTTTACGTCCTACTTTTTTGCACTGAAATGAGCGTAAAGAAATGTATGGAGAGAAATTATACATCAAAATCACAAATGTTTGCTCCTGTGTCCAAATATTTTTCTCGGCTTGTATATCGAGACTATCAGATTTTGACAGTGACAGCCGTCATTTGAAGACTCTTATTGATTTATTTATTTACACTGACATAACTGTTATTGATATTGTACTAAAAATGGCCGGTAACCTTCCTTAACGCCTGACTTTATGATGACTGGATTTGTCAAGTTAACATCTTATTTTGAGAATCCACGCAGCAGTTAAAAATTAACATCCCCTTAAACGATTTCATAACCTAACCTGATGTAATGTTCAAAAATACATCCACACCCAAATGATATGCCTCGTACAATTAGGGAGTACTTATGTATGTATTGTAAAAGTAGGATAATGACAATGATTGGAAGGTATCGTGATATTGGAAGGTATGACGATGACAACAAAATTGTAAAGTGGTATAAAAAGAAAATCATATCGTGATGGTACGATCGGTAAGAGGATAATAACAAAACTGAAAGGCATGGTGATGATATTGGGAGGTATGATGATGACAACAAGATTAAAAGGTATGGTGATGATATTGAGAGGTATGATGATTACAAGATTAAAAGGCACGGTGATGATATTGAGAGGTATGATGATGACAACAAGATTAAAAGACATGGTGATATTGAGAGGTATGATGATGACAACAAGATTAAAAGACATGGTGATATTGAGAGGTACGATGATGACAACAAGATTAAAAGACATGGTTATGATATTGAGAGGTATGATGATAACAACAAGATTAAAAGGCATGGTGATGATATTGAGGGGTATGATGATGGAAACAAGATTAAAAGACATGGTGATGATATTGAGAGGTATGATGATGACAACAAGATTAAAAGGCATGGTGATGATATTGAGAGGTATGATGACGACAACAAGATTAAAAGACATGGTGATGATATTGAGAGGTATGACGACAACAAGATTAAAAGACATGGTGATGATATTGTAAGGTATGATGATGACAACGAGATTAAAAGACATGGTTATGATATTGAGAGGTATGATGATAACAACAAGATTAAAAGACATGGTGATGATATTGAGAGGTATGATGATGACAACAAGATTAAAAGACATGGTGATGATATTGAGAGGTATGATGATGACAACAAGATTAAAAGGCATGGTGATGATATTGAGAGGTATGATGATGACAACAAAATTAAAATCCATGGTGATGATATTGGGAGGTATGATGATGACAACAAAATTAAAATCCATGGTGATGATATTGGGAGGTATGATGATGACAACAAGACTAAATGGCATGGTGATGATATTGGGAGGTATGATGATGACAACAAGATTAAAAGACATGGTGATGATATTGAGAGGTATGATGATGACAAGATTAAAAGACATGGTGATGATATTGAGGGGTATGGTGATGACAACAAGATTAAAAGACATGGTGATGATATTGAGAGGTATGACGATGACAAGATTAAAAGACATGGTTATGATATTGAGAGGTATGATGATGACAACAAGATTAAAAGACATGGTGATGATATTGAGAGGCATGATGATGACAACAAGATTAAAAGGCATGGTGTTGATATTGAGAGGTATGATGATGACAACAAGATTAAAAGGCATGGTGTTGATATTGAGAGGTATGATGATGACAACAAGATTAAAAGACATGGTGATGATATTGAGAGGTATGATGATGACAACAAGATTAAAAGGCATGGTGATGATATTGAGAGGTACGATGATGACAACAAGATTAAAAGACATGGTGATGATATTGAGAGGTATGATGATGACAACATATATTATATTATATTGGGATTTTTTTTCTGTACTAAAGACTGAGATATAACTTTATATGTAAGTCACACTATTTGGATAAATGTTTTCCAGTCAATCAATTTTAAGCATTAATTGTTGCAATTTCATTCTTTGGGCAACGGACATCAATATAGTTATCAATGGACAAATCAATTCATTTGTCACCCATTATGTTATATGGATGCAATTGTGATGTCTGTTTAAAAGATAATGATGATTTTGATACCAGTGCACAGCCTCTATTGTGGTTATCCTGGAAAAGGGGCACCAAGCAGCTGCTATGCACTACTTTTACTTTTGTTTGTATTCCAGAAATGAAATGCATTGAGTTTTCTGCCCCTGATGGTGGTGTTCCATAGGAATGCTGATTGTGCAAGAAAAAAACACTTGAATTGAGATCTGTTATCATCCTTTAATTCAGAAGAGATTTAAATATTTGAAAAACATAACAGAAAGACAAATGTTTACAGAGTTTCTGATTCTAAGAGTGGATTCCATGTTTAGTATTTCACCCTGAGGTTCAATTTGAGCTACCTTAATGGTTATATTTTGATGTAACTCTTACCGGGTTAAAAGCTAAAATGCAGCAAGTTTTGAAACAATTGTCCTTAGGGCTGAAACCACTCAGGTATAAACACACCCTTAAATCAGCTTAAAAATACATCTCACAAGGATTTAACATGAAGTATTAAGGGAGGTAACTCAATTTTACAAATTATCTGACAATCTGTCAGTAAACATCCTTAATTCCATTGTTCTCTTTTGAGTGACATATCCTGATCACAACAATCATTGACCCCAATTGATATAGGAGTAGCCTATAGATATAAAGAAACTGTTGAGTCAGCATAATTAGTTCACAAAGACCATCATTTCTTACTTTAAATTACAAGAAGCTAAATGTACAGCATGTAAGGTAATGGTTATGTTCATTGCTTTATACTATAGCATTATCTCTCATTGGAGAAAGAGTCTCTAAATTACACTGAAATACATGCCTATAATTGCTTGAACAAGATAAGAGATTTCAATTCAGCTACAACTATAGGAAAGAATATAAGATAATAAATAGTAGATATAGAAGGTAGTAAAATATCACTGAGATATGACATAATGAGCTGTAGAACTAAATTTCAAATATACTAAACTTAGTTAGAGACAGTTAGATAATTGATGAATATATGAGAAGACTGGTGTCACATGACAGGGCTCTTACTGGGTTTACATAATAAATCATAAAACTATCATATCTTCTGTTATTAATTATACCTGATATCTCTTATTGTTATTACAATTGAGATGAATAATATAAAAAATCGTGATAAATTTCTTAGATATTTACATCATTTTTATAGATCAGTTTTTACATACATCTTAATTAGTGACAACAGTTTTTTGAATTTGGAATTTGATAAAATATTTATAGTGAGAACCAAAAATTAACTTCTTCATCATAGTCAGAAAGTCAATCTGAAAAAACATTGAAAGCAAATCATTTTCTAAACCTGTAGAAAAACATTCTTTTCACATATCTTGAGCTTATTAATATCATCAAATAAATAGAATGCCTATATTTTAAATAGACAGTTATATAACGTCCCTTGGAACAATGAGTGAGAGCTACAGAATTAATTTTTTCTACTATTTTTGTCTACAATGCCTTTTCACTATGTAGATCTACTGTCTAATCTTGATGAATTAACACATAAAACAGAAAATATTTTTGATATATGATTTTTACAACATAAAATAATCAACTAAAACTATTATCTAAATAAAGGCAAGAATATGTCCATTCATAGCTCATCTGAACTCATATAGTAACAAAATGTCTCTTTGATATGAGCTCAAAATAAATAAACACAAATTATTACCACATAAAAAGGCAAATATTGTCTTTACTGCCAATTACTTATCAATTGAATTTTGCATCTTTTTAGAAAATGTGAGTGCATATATGCATACATTAACCCACTGAGATCACAGTAAAAGTTTATTGACCAGATAGAACATAATTGATCAGTATTCAGATGTTCAGCTAATCAATTTTTTTTTTTTTGGCAAAGCAATGACACTCTCTCAAACAGAGATGCAGTGTTGATGCACAAAACTTATTTCACAATAAAGATGAAATATCCAACTCAAAACTGTTGTCACTAGACATTAATTAGAGTTTCCTCCCCTTAATCATAAATATTACACACAATACTGACATATTCACATAAACATCTCACTGTATCTTTATTGTATATTAGAAATTCTATTCTCTTTTACTACTCATTAGCCTTTTTTCTATCATTTAATAATTGACAAAAAAATCAAAAATGTATATTTATTAAAAAAACCAAATTCCTCAGCCAATATTGAAATATTGAGCACAATATAGAAACTGGACAAATCCAAACCATGGACTGGCAACAAATTAATATAATTTGCAAATACAAAACTAACATATATTCCTTTCAAATATACAAAATCTGACATAAATGTAGATATATATATTTTCTCAATATACAATAAAGCTTGAGTGATAAGAAGCATTGTACAACTATATATTAATATGTTATTTTTAACTTTTAATGCTATATCTGGTGCCACCATCTTCTAGTTGTACACCATTGACAGTTCTGGAGGTGACTCTACCATCCTCTTCTACTGTTACTGTCTCTTGACCATTTTCTACCACTCTGAATCCATAAAAAGACATTAATTTGACCATGTCACCAAAAAGACGCCATGGCAATGAACATGTTTTTGTTCTTGTCAATAAATATATTTTCCATATAATTAAGCTTGCAGTCACATCACATTAAACCAGTGTCAAAATATCAGCCTAAAACAACTTCAACTTTTATTTAGGTCCTGAAAAATGCCATTTTGATATTGAAAATGTCTTAAAACATTAAGATCTTAATTCATATTTTGAAATACTGATAAAACTGTACTTACTTTTTAGTAGTGACCTTTTTACCGTTGACAAATTTGGTTGATGTGGATGTAGATCTAAAATTACCACCAATGGTTGGCCCACCGAAATTGGTACTTGAGAATGATGTAAACCTAAAATAATTCAAGATAACAGATCTTATGCTTATCTATTGCAAATTTTGAATCTCAAAATCTATCATGGTTTTAAAAAGTAGTTAAAAAGGAGAAATAAGACTGCACCTTGAGGATATTAACTTCCTTTCGAAAAATACAGAATTTAATTTAACCTTATTCACTGGGTATATATTTAGATATACCTTAAGTCAAAAAAAGGCATTCTGAAAATGTTCAAAGAACATTTGACTTGGAATGTTATCAGATTGGAACAATTACAGAGGACATTGATTGGATTGAAAGAACTACAATTACAGGATGACATCTTCACAGATAATTAATTTTGAAAAGTATTACATCTAGAGTTTTCACAAAAATGTCCATAAATACTTATAAACATTACAGAAGAAATGACAATAATTAACAGAAAAGACGCTATCAAATTCACAGTAAAAGCCCTATTTATCATAGAATATTTTTTTTACACATAACGTGTTACAAGTTTTTATATTAATAGGTGCTAAGCATTGTGTGACAATATCCATACATGAGGATGCTTTTGTGTAGTATTGAAATGAAGCCTTAAATGATTACAAAATTTGCAATGTATAGGGCAGTTCTCATTTTCTATTAAATCAACGTTGATTCAGTAGAATAATTATATCACTATTAAGTATCAAAACATTGGTCTACAAGATGAGTTCCAATGACTAGCTGAATTGGAATTGTCTGGTGAACAAGGTCATATACCTCATTTTAGAATGAATGTTTATCATGATGAAAATATGATGGAAGGGGAGGGAGTAAGTTATACAACAAAATCAACATAACAAACTAAGGAACAAAACTTTATAAAAAAAAAGTGCACACGGCAAATAAATAACTAAAGAAAAAAACTTTTAAAAATCAACAACTAAACTAATCACTACATAACACAGTGAAACTAAAATAAAGAACAATAAGACTGAACATAAACTAATTATATGACCTCTGGCACAGTCAAGAATTGTGTTAACAAATGTTAATCTTTAGTCATACATTAAAGCAGTTGTTTTATATTGGTTGACAATTTATGTCTGTGATAAATCATGATGTACAATTTTCTTAAATGATGGATTGAATGTGAAATCTCATACCCTTTTAAATTCAATATCTGGTATTACTATATTATTCCCCTGCACTATCCCATGTATTTACTTTAATTTTGTGACTTTCATAGATAAAAGAAGTGTCTTTGAAGGTACTTGAAAGCAAACATTGTTGTACTTTTTGAGGTATCATAAAAAGAGGAAAGAAGGGTTTTAGTTGTATAGTTACTTTTTAACTGTTTCAGACTCTGCCAGAGGCTTGAACAAAGTTGTGTGGTATTAAAACAACTCTATCTACATGCTGAACAAAATATAAATAAACTAGTTATGTTTACCCTGTAGTTGCATTAGTCATATCCATAAAGGGATCATCAAAGATGGATTGATGTCCAAAACCAAAATGGAGTCTAGGAAAGCCTGGATGAATGAATGGATGATGAAATGGTGATCTCTCCTGTCGACTGCGATGTTGTTGGCTATCTGGTGTACGTCTGTGACGATGTCGGCGATGACTGAAATAATTCTCAACTCATGGACCTGCTGTTCAATCAATCAGTGAGGTGATGTTCATAGTTAAAGCTTTACTTGTGGACATATTTCAGTTAACAATAAAACAATGCTCAAGCATGCAGGAAAAACAAGCATTACAAACATAAACTAAATTCAAAACCAGCATGACAAAATTATTTGAGGAGGGATTTAACAAGCTGAAGTTAAATAAACTCATGGGAAGATGCAGGAAAAATCAAACTCAAATGAAATGAATGAAAATTCAAAACCCCAAAAAGGAACAAAAAGTTTAAATAAAAATCTGAGTCCAAGTTAGTCAAATGAGGTTGAATTATCTTCAAATTGATTATTTTTGAAAAATTTATAATAATTTTGCTGATTATATAAGAAAATTTTTCAATTTGTCATGCAGTTTTCTTAATATCTACTTTACCAGTTGATACAGCTCAATTTATGCTATATGTAACAATATATATATTTCTGTGGAAATGTAGAAGTAAATTGTTTTGAACATAGATAGTTGAAATAGGGTTTTATCGCCTGTTTAAGCAAATATTTTGATAGCTCTATCCATTTTTATTTGCTTCAAATGTGCTCTTGGAGGTGATAAAATAATAATGGTATGAAAAAATGAAATGGGGAAGGATGATAATGAAATAAATGACCTTCACCATTATATAAACTTAATAAAACAGAAATAAAAGGAAAGAACCAAAACCCAAAGTGCAGTCTGATGAACTAATATTGTAAATATATATTGATATAATAAAATATAATATTGATAATATATAAAATATATATAATCATATAATTTATAATAAATACTTGACATTGATATATAATGATATCAAATATGCCCTTGTAATCTTTTTTAAAAAAAGTCCTTTCATCAAAGATTATTTTTTAGAATATCTCTAAAAATTTCTATTTAGAAACAAAATCATATTTGAGCATGATTTCATGATTTCAGTGACATGCATTACAAAAATGCAGTTCAAGAAAATTCATTTGATATTTTTAGTAATTTAGATCATGAAGGGACAATGTGTATCATGCTAAGTTAAGTATAATGAGGACCAGCAACCAGAATCAATTTCTGGAATGATTGTAAGGGAAAGCATGATTCAGCAAAATGGTACTTGAAGCCAAATATTAGGTAGGGAATGCATAGTAATTTGTATATTTAATTGTGTTTCATCTAATTCTTACATTTACTTAAAATAAGGTGTGTTTTGGAACCAGTAAAAGTGAACTTGTGCCAAGTGATATACAATAGTAATATAGAAGCATTGCTCATATTGTGAGTCATCATAATTTAGAAAAGCCAGAAGCTAAATATAAAGCCATGGCTCATTATTGGCTCAGGTTTATTTATAGTTTTAAAGCCATTTTACTTCATTAATAATTTCAAGATTCAATATACAATTAGTTCTTTGGATAAACTGGCATATTTCTGAAAGTCATTGGCCAAATTTTGAAATAAATTGTTCACATTTTAAAACCTGAACCAATCAAAATATTCCACAAGTATAGCCATTACTTACCCTGAACTACTGCCGATTGGATCCATTCCGAAAAAATGTGATGACATATTACTATGTCTAGGAAAGCCTACAAAAGAATTTTCAAACATCGAACCATTCATTTCACGACTTGGACCTACAATAAAATCTAGTGTTAGTTCAAAATATCAACTACAGAAATTGGCACAGAAATAAAGTAAAAGAAAAGAAAATATTTTATAAATCAAGGTAGAAATTAAGAATTGAAGTTGTTACTAAAAAAAAAAGAAGATTTGATTGGTTTTAGAAAATATACCAAAAGAAATAAACACTAATCAGAGATCGAAAAGGTTCAGTGAAAAAGTTTCCAAAAAGCTGATCAAGAATGAGCAAGTATATAAGTATACAAGAGGAAAAGTGGAACAGAAATCAAGCAAATAGTAAAGTTTTCTACCATAAGATAAAATATGACAAAATGACTAGCTGTTAACAGTCATATTAATGTGAACACAACTCATCTCAGAATTATGCTGGTAAAGTATATTGGATATTGGATGGAAAGTTCTATCTGACAAAATGTATTTGCTAAAATTTACAAAGAGATTCATACATCCACGATCAAGCTGTTCTTGGATTGTGATTACTACTACACAGTTTTAGCCACTATTGCCCTTTCTGCAAAAATCAATTTCACTCTCATGAGGCTTGTTAACAGTTTCAATCTTCCCTAGTGCAATACAAAACACATCCAAACACAACAAATATTTTACCCATAATGAAATCCTCAAAGGGATTATCTGTTCCAAAAAAGTCTTTAAATATATCTTCGGCACTTCTGAAGTGAAAGTGGAAATGCCCTGGTCGGCTGTAACCTTGGTTGAAATCATCTTCAAAACTAGGTTCATTTAGTACTCCTGATTTACCATATCTATCATAGACACCTCGTTTCTTGGCTGTAATAATCAAAGATAGGCGTTAACTAACATGAAATATTAACTGCAATTATATGAAAAGTAGGGCTAAAATATGAAATCATGGTGACTTGGATAGAACATGAAGGTTCACTTACATTAATCCAACAATCAAGAGGCACTCTCTTTTTTTACAACCCCCTGAAATTTTTGAATTAACAGTAAGCTTAGATCTGTATAGTTTTCATTTCGATAAGAAATAAAACTCACTATCTGATAAAACTTCATAAGCTTCTGCTATTAATTTAAACTTTTTCTCTGCTTCTTTCTTTTTATCTGGATTTTTGTCGGGATGCCATTGTAAAGCTAAGCGCCGATATCTAAAAAACCAGAACACATTTTATGAGTTGTACATAAGAACTTGATATTAAATACAATAAAACAAATATATGATGATTGTACAACATCTGTAGATATTACACAGCACCATATAGAAGTAGAAATTATTTATTGTACGATAGACTTGGTAATGGAAAGAAGCTGACACATTATTTCTTCCTTCTTGAAATTCTAGTTTCAATGGCAATTTCAGCCAAAAAATTGATGATGAAAATGTAACTTTGCAAAACCTAATTTTATGAGGTCTTTGAAAGGGACATGTTTGTCATTTTCAGGGGTTGATTTAGGTCTTGAATATACGTAAATAGTCTTCTGAGTACTAGAAATGTATGAAAATCGAATAATTCCTTCAAAAATACCCCAAACTAGGAATTTCTATTTCTATGGGTGACCTTTCTATATTACTGAGTCTCCACAAAAGACGTGTCGGCATGCAGATAATTAATTCTGGACACACATATGGATTTGAAAGCTTGATTTTCGATGGTGAGCTGTGAACAATATTACTGATAAAAGTAGCTATAAAAAAAATTCTGTTTCCAGGACTAAGGTACGATTTAGTCAACGATTGACAAACATTTCCCTTTAACACAAACTCTTGAACTTACGCTTTTTTTATATCTTGTGCAGTTGCTGCTTTTTCTATTCCTAATATTTCATAGTAACAGACATCTTTTTTGGTGGCTGGCATTTTCAGTTGATACTAATTAAGCCTGTAACCACTAGATTCTGAAAATAGACATGGATGAAAATAATATACAAGCAAACAAAGAAAGAAAACATATGATTGTGCACATGACAATCTGCCAAATTAATCTAGACAATCATATGTCCATTGACATCATTTATAACAATAATAAACAGATTTTAACTCTCATGATAATAATAATCTATTTAAAGATTGTACCATTTCACAATACTACAATCCTATATCATCAGATATTCAAAAGAGATCTGCTAGCATGTATTGGCAACTCTTAATAGCCTCTAAACCTTGTCAGTGGTTCTTGAAATTCCTGTGAAACTTGGCAAGTTAATGATTTCTCCATCACAATTTACAAATTTACCAATCAAGCCTAATGATACCTGATAGCCATGATGTCATTAAACATCAAACTTTATCTGGCATTACTGGAATCACAGATGAAGCAAGGAAAATTTATAGTATTAAGATGAATCCACAGCATATATAATATAGCAGTTTCGCTCACATATCTTATAAGCTTACAATTCAAAATTCAAATTCGATATGGCTCAGACTTATATGGAACAACTTAAATACTGTTTTTAAATTTTTCTGTAAAAAAAAAATCTATCTTTAAATGAAAGTGGGTATTGTAAATAAATAATCAATGTTTGGCAAGGAATCAACAGTAAGAGTTGTTGTATATTGTTTGTTAGAACTCTGAAGTCAGGTGTAGATATAAATATAACAGAAACCATTCTATGACCAGAATTTATTTGTCTGATTACACATGTTAATATAATAAACTTTTCTTTTCTAATGATTCTTTTAATTATTGTCCCCTAACATACATCATCAAACATGAAAGCTTCAAATTAGTCCTTCTATTGTCTCAAACTTTTATAGAAGAATGCTTAGGCACATTTTATAACTATCTGGCACTAAATTTCAAATTTCATGCCACAAATTGATTTCCATGCAGGTTCCATGCAGGTTCACCGTCATTAAGGCACAAACATTTTAAACACAAGTGAGTCAGAATGTGTACTCTAAACACACAGTCACTACAGCGCAGGTCAGTAAGGCACACACTTTTTAGGAACATTAATATTTGGAACAATGTCAGTTTAGGCACATATTCATTAAAGCAATCTCTGTTCAAAATGTGCATTTCATTCTCTTTCCATTTAAGACATATTTTAAGCAAGAATTATCTGCCACTGGTAGAATTAAAGGGATATTGTCAACTGTCATAGAATATGACATGACAAGAAAGAGAGTATATAGTTACCTATTGTAGGTATTATAAATTGTAGCTATATCATATATAAAGAATACTAAGAATGATATTAGAGTAATAGATCTATAACAGTTTGACGCAACAACACTATCAATCAGATCAAGTGTAAAAATATCTTTTACGTGTTTAATTCAATCCTGCCATTCTATTTAGCTAATAGCAATAACACAGTCTCTATTTTACTCCTTACATTCAACCAAGTGTTATTTCATTGATTTCTGTAGTTTGAATCAAATCATTAGTCTCCATTATAGCCTTGAAGAAATAATGAGGATTGCAAAGAGGATTTACTCCAAATAGAATGGTGTAACCAAAATTGCATCTTAAAATACTTGTTATTTACCACATATTACATCTCTTTACAGATGCTTTTCTTATCTTAAGTGGAAATATTCCAAAGTTTAGACTGAAAAGTTCCCCTTGTTCAGAACAGAAGAAATATTTTCTAGCAAAATACCAAGATAAGGAATATGTCTGATACATTTACTCTGAAGTTGTTGACTTGAGGCATAAACTAGTCAAATTCATAACTCGAAAACAACCTTAGTCTTATATATATACATAGTGACAACTTTTAGGACATTCGATAGAAAGCTCACTTAATCCAGTAAATTTTCACTCTACAGACTTCAAAATCAAAATTTAATTTTTTAAAACGAATGATCTGGTCAGGATGTAAACAGAATCAATTCTAAGCCTTTTACAAAAGCAATACCAAGTATATTATGATAACTGTTTTATGATGCATAAGGATGAATATTGTTACCAGCCTAAAGTCTAACATAGTCAGATATAACACTGAAGTCTCAAAAAAGTAATTTTAGTTGATCAACAGTTAAAATCATGATCTGTTCCAATAGATCTGAATGAAAACTCTTATTACATGAAAAACACACGAAAACAAAGCCTTAAAGATAGTGGACCACAGCCATATACGCCCGTCAAGGCATGCGGATGGTAAAAACGAAATATCCATTTTAAGTTTCATCAAAATCAGTTGAAAACTAAGAGAGTAATTGCATATTCAAGATTTTGGGTCAAGGGCAATAACTCTGCTTCTAACGGTCGAAAATACCTCAAATTCGAACTTGATCTTCGTTTTATGAATATGTATACACATACCTAATTTCATTTGATTCCATCAAAAAAACTTTTTAGAGCGTTTACAAGCAAATGTTGACGGACGGACGGATAGACCGACATGGGTGCCAACAATATACGTCCACATAGAGAGATGTGGGCATATAAAAATGGTTTTTCAATGTTTCACTAAAAGTTTAACAACCATTCAGACAGGATTAATGAGTTGACACTAATTTCTTTTCTATAGTACAAAGATATTACCAGTATTACAATATATAAATTGTTCAGGGTTATATAGAGTAAACTACACAAGAAACAGCTTCTATGAACTAATAACCATATATCTGAACTATATTTACCAGTAAGCATTCAAAGTGATCTAAAGGTATAAAATAATTCCATTCAAAAATTCACACAAAGTCAACAATGTCATTTTTTTATATTAAAATGCTTACTGTAATGTACTTGTAATTATTTGAAATGAGACTAAACACTCATTTCAGTCAATCAAGCTGTGAAAAGTGCAGATAAACCTGGAAGTCTAGATTACTGGTAGACAGGATCCTCAGAACCTTTGCAGGGAGGAATTCTTCATCAAATAAGGGGTATCTGATCAACAAGTGGGCAAAAATGAACTCATGAACATACTTACACATTCAATATACTTGTCAACACAAATACATACCGGTACTCACTAACAGTACACCATACCTGACAATAACTCAATCATATAAGACCTTACTTCATATCTGATCAAAAATCAAATTATTGATAGATGTTGTCCTATGAGACTACTTGACCTCATAAAATGACCATTATGTTATTGACACAATCAGATAAAACAATGTTAAATCTTAGTGAAAACACACCCTATAATAAATTCACTTTATAATATAAGCTTACATAAGCTTATACTGAACACAATTTAAACACTGAAATTAACAATGAAATGATGAAACTAGCTGTGCAATGAGACTGGCTCTAAAATCCTTTCTTCCTGTTCACTTTGAGAATGCTTGCATTAGTAATGGTAATCCAGTGAATTTTCCATCCAGAAGTTTTTCTTCAGACAAACCTCTAAGAATTTGTTCACCTTGTCTAAGAATGATTATTCTTGACAAGATACTGCATGTTCACATCAGTGAACCCAAACCCTGAAAATTTAACATGCAAACTGAACATCCTTAATGAATACTGCAAGTGTAAGCTTATATGAGTTATATAAAACTTATAAAACTCTTTGGTATGAACTGATGTGTACATGTAACCTACACTGACAATATCAAATAAAAGTTTCTGTCCGATTTTGGGAATCGATAAATACAGAACAAATAATGGGACCAATAGACTTCAAACATAACATTGCCAGGCATAACACATGGTTATTGTTTGTTTGTTTATTTGTGAGTAAAGAATCTATTGTCAACAATGATCTTACTGTATAGTAAACCACAACTTGATTTATCTAGTGAGTTAGTTCTACACTGGACACAGCAGGATGGTATTCAGATTTTCAGTTGTTGCTGATATAACTCTCTTTTTAACTTAGATAAACTGATTTAATTCTTTCTTTATTTGTAGCAATATCACATGTATACAACTTAAATAATATCATGAGCTGATTATCCGAAATCTGTACATAAAGTTTCTACTACTCCATCTCTGATATAAAATCTTTACAACTACCACAAAAATTTGTGTAAAATCTTTTTAAAGTCATTAATGTGAAATGCATAAAATAAAAAGGGAATGAGCAATATTCTAGCAGTCAGTAGTTGTGAATGTCCTGTACTTTATGAGATATTTATATTCAACAGGTGTCAATATAAACAAGAAGAACCTGCTGTATAATACAGGAAGATGTAATATCTCCTCTATATTGTCACATATTTCATATTTTTAGATTTAATAACTTTATGAATAATATTTGACATGTTTTATGACATTGACAATTTGAGCCATCATCTGTATCTTGACCAACAAGAAATCAATAACTAAAGCTATAAGTACATTATAAGACTCATGAGATAAAATAGAAGTTGACAAAACAACACATTGACCACCACACAATAAAACTCAAATCGTTCAGGCAAAGCCTTAACCTTGTAGAAACATACAGGGGTTTTTAATTGTGCTAGAATAATCTACAAGGATCAAAGACTCATAGATAAAAGCGTGATAACACTATAACTTTTTTGTCATGTGATACCTTTACAAAATTATTCAGGCAAAATTGTCAAAAAAACAATATAACATTTCAAGAATTGACAAACTGTAGATTTTATTGGTTTATCAAGGTCTATTAATTTTATATCTTTCAAGTTCTAGGATACAAACATGATTTTAATTTTTTTTCATATAATATAAAAAATGGTATCAACTTATTTCTTGATCGAAATTCATAATTTCAAATTTCTTAATCAATTATATGTCAAGATTACATTTTCTACACTGTATCCATTAACAAGAAGTAATCTCTTCCACAATGGTTCCCTTCCGCACATAACATACCCAAAATAAACTATAATAACCAAGAATATACTTCTTTGACGCAAAAATAACCCATGAAATAACTTTTGGTGTGTTTTTCATGAAGTATTCACAGGATTTCTCAATTGAATTATTTTGATTATTAATCGGTTATTGATCGGTAGTCTGCTATCAATAATCGATACTCAGTCCTAATCTTGACAAATAATATACAACATTCCAATAAATATGTATTTGACATTGCAAGCATGAGTTTAAAATCATTTTTACCTGTTTATTGTGTGAAATCCTAGATTAAAGGGTGATTTCTGATTTTAATTTAAACTGAATCAGTTAAGTAGTTCCTAATAAACTAAGAAATAATCCTGAGTCAATTGATAACAGCTGAACAGAAGAGTTTCACACCTACCAATACCTAGTAGTGAATTATATACTACAATGTCAATATCACAGCATACCATCTAGTTAATACATGAATAATGTTATTATTATGCTGTTATGAGTAATTATGTGTAATGTGTATTGCATGAGTATATTACAGATCGTCAATAATAATCAATTCCATTAACTCTGCACTACAAATATATAACCTTACCTTGAAAACTAGATCATGAGGTGTTTTGTAGTACTAGATGTACCTTTCTGCACTCACTTTCTAATTTATGTCAACATTCAACATACTTAGTTTGTACCCTCTAATAGCAAAAATATCTGTGACTATAATTTACCACATTTAAGTGACTGTTTTTATTTTTTTAATAACAGCACAGTAGACCTTTAATCAGAAAAAGATCAAAGATGTTTGCATCAAATGGTATTGATCCTCCAAATGTATTTTATAAGACAGATTTACATAAGCTTTGTTCTTCTTTCTGAATTCTATAAATTTTGTAATTGATATGTTTGTTTCATGTGCATTCATAAATTTTGTTTAAAAGGGCATTCCGCTTTTTTCATCCGGTTTTTGGAAGGTGAAATACATCAAACTGCAAAGAGGAAGATGCCCCTTACCTTTTGTGAAAGGTTTATCTTAAAATATCAAAGCTTTATGTCACAAACAGCTACAAAAGTCTTGACAAGTTACGTAACTACTTTGAATTCCCTAGGCTCTATTTTTGCTGTACTATACGATATTTGATTATGAGAAATGAATTCTGATTGGACCACAAATTGTTAACCAATCAGCAGCGATTTTACAAATGTATCTCAAAACGTGAAGAGTTTTAGGTCCGTAGTTCAATATACTCTGTCCACTCAAAAATCACATCATGATGTATTTTTTAACTCAGCAATCCTAAAAATTGTGTTTAAAATAGTTTCTTTGTTGCCAGATCAACGTATAGAAACCGTATATAGGACATACATAGAGTATCACGCAAAATAATCCCAGTTTAAACCTTGAAATTAAATCAAAATAACCCTTAAAATCAAGAGAAGAATGAAAACATCAGATCAGAAATTCTAAATTAATATACCAAACCACTGCATTTAACACAAGAATTTAACACCCCTTTATTTACAGTGCTATTTTAATTCAAAATAAACAGATTTGAATACAGTACAGTGATAAATTCAAATCTTATCAAGTAAAATAGTTAAACAGTATGATAAAAATAGCTTCTATGTTGGAGCCAAAATTTCAGTCTGAACTGGTATGGAAATGGGGCAATCCTATAACCAGCTTGCAAGTATGTGTGTAATCAACTTATTCACACTTTTCAGACATACCAAGTTAGCTTCCTTTTTTTTTGTCTTTCCAGATCATCATGCATATCAACGCATTTCCAGACCTAATAACTCACAAAAGGGGTTTCCTTTATCCCTATCTCATCCAACAGATCTGATCTCAAATCAGAATACACATCTACTGAATTCCGACAACTATAGTTTTTTTTCTGTTTAACTCTTATCAATAAAGCTGATCAATCAAGAAAAAATAATAAGCAAAGAAACCCACTTCTGTTTTCTTCTCTCTCCAATTTCTTACAGAATAATCTTTCCTTCCTGAGAAATGTTTAAAAATAGACTCTGTAAGACATACAGATGGTTTCAATGTCAATTAGTCAATAAAAACCTATTTATCTACAGTACCGGTACCATAAACAATATTAAAATATTTACCTTATAACTCACTGATATTAACCATGAGAGACCCCATAAATCATTAAATCACAGAGAGAGACTGAAAGGGATACAGACACTGATCCCTGGTATTTCCACTAGTTTCAGGTCAATATGAACTACAAGGTAGAGAAAAACATTCCAGTTTAGCCAAGATAGAATGTTAGATCTATAAATATCTACTTCACTGACTCATCTTACTCAAGTGGTATAACTATATAGGCTAGGCAACTGACAGGTAACATGAAATGTATGTGCATGCATGCATCACTAAACACAAGTTATTGGAGCATCATTGTGCTTGCCACAAAATTTAAATTTTCAAACTCCCTTTTTTAAGAGGGATTTCAAATTTTTTCTAAAATTATTAGTATATAAACTGATTTTGAATCAACAATCAAGCTTTTATAATGAATTGAATATTAGACTATTAGTGCTATTTTGAATCATAAATTAAAAACATCTTTATTGAAGAGTTAGCTGAATACATTCAAAGTATGTTCTGCATAATGTAATTTACATCAAATTATAAATACAGCACATAGCAGTTGAAAAAATCAGTCACATTTTTTACAACAAGTCGAAATTGCAATTTTTCAACAATTCTTTTCTTCTATTTTCTACTGTATCGATAATCCCGCACATTCACATCTTAATGCAGTCGATCATGTTCATTTAGCTTTTGCATAACTGGCTTAAAAATGGAATTAAAAAAAAAATGGTCATCCTATCAATATATTTTGTAATAATTTATCTTTCCAGAGTGATAGACATATATATTTAACAATTGACACAATACATTGCCATACAATGCCAGAACATTGAACTCTGAAATATCCCAAACCTCTCTTTGCCCTCATATAAAAATTACATGAAGCTTGGTTATCTGAACATCTGCAAAAATTATCTTCTCAAAATTGATAAATGATGTTTATTTTATTATGCTGGTATGATAAACATACATGTCTCACACTGTAACAACATGTTGAGTTGTATTTGCCAGAACTTAAACTTAACTACCTTCATGATGCTATTTTCATACAAATAAGCAACTTTCAGCAGACTTATCAAAATTTGTTCTTTTTTAATTTAGCCACTTCAGTTATGGTCTAAAGGTGCAGCTCTTGAACCTTCATCCATTTAAAGATACCACCAGCCTATGAAATTTCTTCCCAATCACACTCTGGGATTTTGTGATGCGAAACAAAAGATGTAAGCTTATTCAAGAAGCATTAGACACTGAATGAACCTTTGGTTCGTGTCAAAAAATTCCCACGTTGGAGTCTACATATCGTTAGACTGCAGCTTTCAGATACATTCTTTTTAGTTGTTATATAGGCTATGTGTCACACAAAACTTCATTTGCATTCTACATTGAGCTTTGAATTAAATTTTCATTAATATTTGAGATAAAATTTCAACAGTATACCATTTGTCTCAGAAGATCTTCAGGTGCAAAGAAATAGGGTTCAGTTATTTTACATTTGAAATCGTACTTAGTTTCCCTCCGAGACTACTTTTAGGACTGAAAATTCCCCTCTGTAAAATTATTTTAACATTTTCATCAACCCAAAGACAAAGACTCTCATTCAAATTGCCAAATGCAATTTAGTAAGCTCAAAGTTCTGTCAATATAGTTTCAACATATAATAAAATAAAGAGAAGGCTTCCAATGGCATAACAGGCACAAATGTAAACAAAGCTGTTTATCTGTTTGTGAAAACTTTACTCTTTTTGTGTTTCTGAATAAAAGACTACTTACTTTTTACTTTTCAATCATTACTCGACAAAAACCTCGACAATTCCCTATTTGACGTCATTTTCGCACATGCGCACTGGCTGGCCGTTAATAGATGCAGACTTGCATATTTTGTCTGAGAACGTATCAGCTTATGTGAAAAGCATAGTGGCCTCAACAACGAGGCCTATTAGAGGTATTGAAACTAGTATTCGGCCGATAAAAAATGGTGACGTTTGGTAATAACTGAAATCTGCCATTTTGAATCTGTCAAAGTATAGATTAATACATTTTACCTTGCTTGAAACTACTGGATTCATTCTACAAGCTGACATTGTAGAGAAAACCCATGTTTATCAAAACAAACTAATGCGGAGGTCGCGCAAGGTCGCTCGTGTAAATTATTAATCCTTTCTGGAAATCCACGAATAATAGGTTTCCAAGAAATTAGGTTATTTGACTGTAGTAGTACTGGTAGTCCATAGTTCAGTAATTCAGACATATAACTACCAATTATGACAACTATCAACATCTAGTCTACCTAGTTTGTGATAGCAGCATCCGCTGAAAGCGAATTTTAACTTGTCATCTATCAACCAACTTTGTGCTTTTTGATTGTTTGTGTACGAGTGAAGAGTAGACTATCTCAGTATCAGTGTCTGTGCAACAATGAACGAATTGTGATTAAAAAACGTATGTTCGTTTCATTTTCACTGCCTCCATACTCATCATCATTTGCCTTAGTCAAGAAAATGATTCTAAAACTTTGAAATAAACATAAAATAGCACACCAACCTGTTGTCAAATTAAGAAATTTCTAGGCTCAGTTTTTCTCAGATTCAGAACGATTTCCTGAACGTAAATAATCCAGCTCTATAATCTCTAAAAGAAATGGATTTTGCGTAGAATTTTTTAATAAACAATTACTCTTTAAGTAATATGAAATTAATTCTCAGTCCTTTTTAAATATTTATACTTTCTATTTCATTCAAACATAAACTATGTGCGTCTTTGTAAAACAATGAAACATCTCAAACAAACGAGATTTTGCGATTTCCAAGATGTCTGCGCCCACAATATCAAAACAAATGTAAATACAAATAAAAAAATATAAATTGTAACTTTCTCATTAGGCCTACGGCTATTGTTTCAATACAGTGTCATTTTCCGCATTATTTTAATGTTATATTTTTGACAATGTCAATTTTTTTTATCACGACTCTATCTCTGAAAGGGTCGAAGGCCTTGATATGAAATGAATGAATGAAATCCTTTTCGGCTTTTCTTTCAGTGTCAGTCAGGATTTCATTTACTTGTCATCTAGATCATTATTTAGCTATCGAGATAATTGCATGTGGGATAGACCTATCCAGTAGTTTAACATTGTCCTACATTAAATCTGCTTCCTAATTGAAAATGTCATTTTTATAAGCAGTCTAAACTAAGAAGCATTTCTTAGTTATATTAGTAAGCAAAGCAATCTTTCACTTGCATCAGGATTATACTATAACATAAGTATAGTTTAATGTGGCTCAATCCACTAAAAACCACAAAATATTATTAAGTGATATTTTTAACAAAGTATTTAATTGGTTGACACATGAAAACTAGTGATTGAAATATTGATATATTACCTGAAGGGTAAGAGGGTAGATTCATTTCAATACCTTATTCCTGTGACCCATCAGGGCTAATTATATATCAGTTCCTGTTTCAGTTTAAACCCTGTAGTATATATCTACCACGGTGTCAAATAAAAACAGAAACTCATCTGCCATTCTACATAGCCAATACAAAATACAGTCATGGCAGAGGAAGTTACAGGAGAGGTATGAAAAGCTGAGTCTTAATATAATAAATAGCAATAGTTTTTATGAAATAATAACTGAAAAGTCCTTGCTCATCAGTTCTAAAATAGCTATTATTTATCATGTAGGTTTTAAAAAGGTTTCTCATTTAAGAGTATCTATAAAATATATTGATATATGATGTTATTTTGTAGGGTACAAAGTTTGATCTGAAGCCAAATGATGAATTAAGATTTGAAGTAGAAACTAAACAAACAGTTGTAATGGAGGTTTGTTATTTATGTTGTTTTCATACTCATCAAAATTGATGAAGAATAACTCAACAACAGACCGATGACTAGACCATTGAAAATATCTCCTGCAATACTTGCTTTCTCATTACTTTAATGTCTAATATGCTGCTCAAATGTGATCAGATTGTTAAATAGATAATGTCATTTCATTTCTATTGTAGATGACTCATGGAAAGGGTGAGGTTTTTGGGGCTGAATTAGCTAAAAATAAGAAATACAAATTCAATTCTGGTGCAAAAGTAGCTGTCTATACATGGCATGGCTGTCAAATTAAAATATCCTTTGTTTAATGGACAGGTGATTTTGTAATTAAATGATAAAGAATAGAAAAAAAGTATAATAGACAATAACATATATATATATTGGTTATGTTGACTGAATTGTGCCGAACTTTTGTAATGGATATTTTCCGTGAAATGACCTCACATTAGCAATATTTTTACATATTTTGATTTTCGTAAGATCTTAAGTCCTCACAACAAATCCATTGTCTTTGAATTTGTTAGTTTTGAGAAATGAGATATGAAGGCTTTTTATTTGGCAATTATAATCTTTAACTAGCCTAACCTGGTAGGAACAACAGAAGTAGCATATATATCTAAAGAAACACCAATGTTAATGTATTTGAATACACATGCTGCTCTTGAACAGATGAGACTCAAGGCTGATGAAGAAAATATGAGAGGACCCAGAGTAAGTTTCAATGGATTTTTTGTTGAAGTTACTTTAAAGTTAAGATATATAAGTATTTATGTGTACTTAGGGGAAGGATGGGTGTCTTAAGCTCTAAACTCTGGTAAACACAACTAAGGACTGCTAATGTATTGTTCATTTTCAGCTGAACAATTTGAACATACAGTGTAGGTTAATACTTTATTCTGTCTTATTTGATATTATAGTGTAATTTCTTGTAACCTATTTTCAGGCTATAATTGTTGGTCCTACTGATGTAGGTAAAAGTACATTATGTAGAATACTGTGTAACTATGCTGCCAGACTAGGAAGAGCACCAATATTTGCTGATATTGATGTAGGTCAAGGACAAACAGATATTCCAGGAACAATAGGTAAGTTTTGAATTGACTTTCCTTGTCAAAACTTTGATACTTAATATCACGAGCAAATAATTTCAAATGAAAAATTGATATACATTGCAGAAAAGCTACTTTCTTACTATAGCCTTGTTTTTTCTTAGGAGCATTATCTGTTGAACGTCCATCTGATGTTGAAGAAGATTATTCCCAGTTATCTCCCTTATCATTTCATTTTGGTCACAAAACACCACAAACAAATACTGCCTTGTATGAATTATTGATACAACGTCTAGCAGAAGTCATCAATATGAGAAGTGAAAAGAGTAAAAGAAGTAAGAAGTTTAGTTTTAACTATAATGAGGTTGTCTTTCAATATGATCTAGAATATTTCTGATTACTATTTGTATTACTGTTGCTTTAGGGTGACTCCAGGTCTAGGCTGTCAACTTTTATGATCTGCCTCTACCCCTCTACCATTGGTTGGAATGTATTTAATTGCTAATTTTGAATAATTCAATCACGATTCCGTTAAGACGGTATCCTGCAATTTTATTGGATAAAATTGGTCACATGCATTCAGTTTGTATCTGTGTAAACGGAATGTAAATATAAGCTCTGCCTCTTAACAGACTACATTTATCATTGAGTTTGATTGACGTGGCCACTACACGGTGTCGATGTCAATCTTTCGAACATCAACAGAGTAGAAATCGACACATCACTGAATGATAAAGGTATCTTCTAAATTCCCTCAAATGTGCACGCTCCAAATTCCAACAATATCATGAATTCTTGACTTATTTAGAATTTGTCTTCATTGAACTTTCGACGTGGTCCCCCTGTCAACTTTCATGCAGTAGACAGTAGACTATAAATAAGTGACCTACTTATTGCTGATCTCTAGAACGTCTGTATTGTTAGTAACAGTTTATTAGTGTTGTTAAAATGTTATGTATTTATGCGCCAATTTAGTGCCTTAAGTTGTTAGGTTGTGTTCATTTCTATAACAGATTGACAGTAGATGATATGTCATTTATAAGACATGCTGTAAATGTGAAAGCATCATATTTTAATTAGAATATTATCATTTGTTTTATATCACAGCTAATGTAAGTGGTGTTATTATAAATACATGTGGTTGGATAAGAGGAGCAGGTTATGAACTTATCAAAAATACTGCTGGTGCATTTGAAGGTAAAGAGGTTTGTTTATATATATCTGGTATAACTGGTTATTTTCATTTTAAATGTGAATTATATTTAACAGTACTGATACTAAGGCATTTGGTTGTCAAAGAACTTTTAATGTTATCAGTAGTGCTGCCAACCTACCCTAAGAAGTTTTTTGTATTCTAGTTGATTTAGTGATGGTGATAGATCAAGAAAGATTATTTAATGAATTAAAAAGAGATTTACCCCATTTTGTCCATGTTGTTTTATTACCTAAATCTGGAGGGGTAAGTACTCTTTAATACTTTTCAAAGTGAATGTGGTGAAATGAATTATTTAGATTGAATCACTCTGGAGTTCCAAAATTTGTCATTGAAGGACAGGAAGATCTGATGAAAAGCAGACTTATGCTTGAGTTTTTTGTTAATAGACTAGACCAATTGTCTGAGGATTGTAGACATGATTCAGAATCTGTTTAATCTTATTATGTAGGTTGTGGAAAGATCCCAGAGTTCTCGAGGTGAAGCTAGGGATGCTAAAATAAGAGAATATTTCTATGGTATTGATAATAGTTTATATCCACACAATTTCGAAGTTAAATTTACAGACGTTAAGATCTTCAAAATTGGAGGTAAATGAATATTATAGAAAATAACAAACATCAAAAGGCAAGGTGAAAGGTTTATAGGCCTGGTGAAGGTACATGATATAAGAACATGGAGCTGAAGATCTGACACTTTGTGAAGTATAGTCTGATAACACCCATACTGTTAGAGAGGAAAGCTTTGCCTTTTAGTGACGAATCTTAGACCGTTTAAAGACTTTCAACAAATCTGAAATGGTTACTCTTACAATTTTCTAGTGTTTGATAACTCTTCCAAGATCAATCCATCTGAACTTACCTAATTGAAAAACTTAGACAGAAAGCTTCAGACATGTTTTGTCAGTATCAGAATATAGATTCTGGAGTTCTAGTGAATTAAGAACTTGGCTTTTCTTAATTTCAGCACCAGTTTTACCAGAATCATGTTTACCATTAGGTATGAAAGCAGAAGATAATAAAACTAAACAGGTTCCTGTTATGCCTTGTAAGTTATTGTTTGACTACATATGTCACAAAATGGTGAATCTTTAGTTACAGTTTGAATATTCAACATTTTAACTACCTTAAAACCAATTAATCTATTATGTTCACAAAAAACTTTAAAAATTGCCATATTACAATAGGTTTATTTTCATTTTTAATGAATCTTTGGATATGACATTGTTTAGCAGGTAAAAGTGTAATATTGGAGGTATCCACTATGCAATGAAGGAATTATGTAATTTGCCTAATACATGTATATATTTTGTAGCTATGTCATTATTACACCATGTATTTAGTGTTAGCGCTGCCAATTCACCAGAAGATAATGTTGTAGAAACCAATGTTTTAGGATATGTTGTCATGTAAGTTATATGCTTTGAAAAGAAATATTAATTATACAAACAAATAAATCTATAGTAATCAATGCAAGTGAGCATAAAATCTATATTATTCTCTTATTGAACAGTTCACAGACTTTTCAAAGTGAAATAATAAATAGTTCTGTCATGCCAAGGTTCAAGCTTACTGGAACCTTTCTCTCTTAAAATCTGTTAAATTTCTGCTAAGAGTGTGATATCAAAACCTTAAGATTAATCGACAATTTTTTTTAGATGCTGGATTAGCTCTGTTTATTAATTGAATATTAATTTGTCTTTTCAGTACTGCAATTGATATGGAGAAACAATGTTTTACAGTGTTAGCCCCATCACCTCGTCCATTACCTAAAAATATCTTATTAATGATGGACTTACAGTTCATGGACATAAAATAGTCAATGTGCTCATCAAGGATTTTATTCAGTGTCCGAATTTATTTTTGGAGAAGAGAACTTTTAATGGGTTGAAATAAATTTTTATGACTCTTGTTCAGTTACATCTGTCAACAAAAGCCTATTATGTTTGTCTTTTTTTGACAGGGCGTATCTATTCCGTACCAATAACATTATGGGCTATCGATAATAATCTTTGAGAACTTTGTTGAGAAGTGACAAAGCAGAAACACCATTTAAATATTGATATCAAAATAAGACTCAGTTATCAAAGATGTAGGCCAACATCAAAAAGCCATGTAAATATTTTCTTATAATAATAAAAATGCCTTTTATTTTGTGTGTTATTTCCCACTGTCCCAAGTACTCAATTAATTGTAGGCCTTTAAAACAAGGGAGACAACTGTACTATTTACAAAACTCTCTTTTACTGAAACCAGCTTTAGTCATGTGTTGTTTACATGTTGCCAAGTTTCACGTGCTTTATTGTTATGAATAATTAAAAGTACTTTGGTAGGAATGAATGACCTTTAGATTAGGTAATATGATATCTAGTAAAAATTTTCATAACATTAATAGCCTGGACGGAGGGAGTCAGTGCAGAGTGGCGTCTGTTTTTCCCCTGGTTGCAATTAATTACATTTTTACATGTCATATTTTATAAAGCCAAAGGAAAGGGGGGAAATGCAAAAAGAAAATTCTAAAGGCTACTATATCAAAAGTACATTTTATCATTCAAAACCCATTTTTCCACATTTACATTAAAAAAACCCATTTTTATCCTTTGGCCTGCTCTCATACAAATAACACAGTTCATGAGGATGACAAAGTCAGCTGTTTGTAGAAAGAGTATAGTAAATATATGTGTGTTCTATCACTGTGATACTGAAATCTTCATTGAAATTTGTGAGTTACTGACTATGGCAGAGAGTAGATTACACATGTAAGGTCAGATTAAACATTAACAACAATAAAAATATCGAGTTATATTTTTTAAAGTGCCCTATCGACAACATTTTGAATTAACTAGCATGTCCAAGACATTTTATCTTCTTAATTGTAGATTTACTACATTATTCATAACCTCATGGAGCAGAGCCAATTAGATAATCCCAGATCAATATAACTTATAGGATTAAAACTTATCCATAACATTTAAACAACACATACCTGTACAGGCTACAACACCATAGATCTCATTCTAGGTTAAACTGATTTTCAAGTAAGGTCATATAGCCTGTTAACTATGGGGTGTGGGTCATCATCACCTACTGTTACAGAAAAATCTACAGTAGACAACAGGGATAACCAAACAGACAACAATTACTATGATAATACAGGAGGTGAAACACAACCATATTATGATGGAAGTGGGGACAACAACAACAGAAATACAGAAATAGACAGTTTCTATCCTACCGATAGAAGAGGAGGCGAAGAGACAGAAATACCAGTTCTTGAACCTACACCAGAAAAAGAATCTGACAAGCTCATTGACACATCTAATGCAATTAAATACAAATCTACATCTGTTGGCACTTACGAAGCTTACTTTGATTTCCGAATTAATAAAGAGCCATTTGACGATGAGACAAGACCATTGATGGCACCAGGTGAATTGTGGATTGATGAAGAATTCCCCCTTCATGTTGCTATTAAGGAATCCACAAATGGAAGTATTGAATGGAAACGGCCTTTTGTAAGTTTGAATATTGATGACAATCTTTTTTTCAAATTGAAGTTAATACATAAACAAACTTGTCAATGTGCAATCACAATGGTAAAAAATCATTCCATTAAGCAGAAAAAATGACTTTAGTTGAGTCAATTACGGATACCATGCTGAATATATTTATTCTATTTGCAGGAATTCTGTGAGAATCCAGTATTATATGCTGATGGTACTACTAGATTTGACATTGGACAAGGATCAGCTGGAACCTGCTGGTTTCTGTCTATGGTGGCTAATATTTCTGAAAAAACAGCTCTTTTAAACAGGGTAAATATTGGTTTTATTATGTGTAAATGAGACCTAAAAATTATTATTTGATTATTCATTACCTTGGGGACAGATTTACAGAAGAAAAACTTAAATCAGATTTTTATCTTTTATTTTCAGGTGATACCAGAAGACTCCTATAGAATCAACACACAGCAATATGATGGTATCTTTCATAGTAAATTCTGGAGGTTTGGACAGTGGGATCATGTATATATAGATGATTATTTACCAGTAGTTTATGACACTCAGTTGTGGGGTGCTAAATCAGCAACAGATAAAAATGAGATGTGGGTGTCACTGTTAGAAAAATCATTTGGAAAGTAGGTATTAGTCTGTATTTGATATAATTTACTATTTTTAAGAAATGTTCAGGTGGATACAGAGAAATCACTGTGAAGAAAGAAAGGTTTATTGTAATTTTGTTTCTGTAGCTAATATTGAAAAACAAAAGACTGAATTGTCAGTATGTATTATACTTTACAGAATGATATTTTTACACACTGGAATTGATAAATATTATTATGTTTTATTAAGATTATATGGGTCCTATAATTCCATCTATGGGGGACAACCAGGTGATGCCTATCTGTCTTTAACTGGTGGTGTTGTAGAGAGGATAGATTTTGATGAAAATAAAGTATCACCTATCAAACTATTTAAACGTGTTAAAAATGCTTTAAAAGGTGGTTCTTTGGTATCTTGTGTTGTTCCTGTAAGTATTAGTAATATAATTTTACTGTTGCTTCAAAACAGAAATTGATTAAATGCATGTTTTGGTGTCAATTTGATTAAATTCGAACTGGTGAAAGGTAGGCCTATATTGAGTTCTCCAATCAATATCTTCAATGGTGGATTTTAAATTTTAGAACAAGTGTCTGGATCATTTTTATTGAATATCTACTGAGGAGAATATAGATTACTATAATGAATATTTCTTTTATTTTAGGAAGAATATGACGAAGTAATGGGTTTAGTTGGAGGACATGCATATTCTCTGAATGGTACAGCAATTGTAAGTTTCATTCCACTAGTCATCAATACATGTAGTATTAATTGGATACCCAGTGGCTTCCTGTCATATTTTCTACTTCTTTGGAATTCAATTCCATGATTTTCTGGAAACTTGTGTTCAATATGAGTAGCTCAATCCAGGGTTTTTTTTTTTTAGAATCCATGAAATATTGATACTCACAGCTTTCAGTTTTTCTATTTCTATAATAACATTGAATTGTTTACCTATCTTGATTTCTTTCAGGCTGAAACAAAATCTGGTCAAAAAGTTCGTTTATTGAGGGTTCGAAATCCCTGGGGTCATACTGAATGGAATGGAGCTTGGAGTGATGGGTTAGTCTCACTTTGTACTCAATTTGTATCTTAAAGTCTGTGATAAAGATGTCATTATTAACATAATATTGCCTCTTTTATTAATTTTCTGCTTGCTTTAAAGAAACATATTGCCTTTTTCAGGAGTGCTGAGTGGCAACAGTTACCACCCGGTATGGTAGATAACCCTGTTAAAGATGATGGGGAATTCTGGGTATCATTAGATGACTTCCTGCAATATTTCTCTCAGTTGACAGTTTGTTCATTAACACCAGATGTAGATTGTGATGGCAGTAGTGATTGCCTTAGTAAGTCTGTGGTTTAAATTAAGAGTTCCTTATTGCTATTATGATGTTAGAAAATGAAGATGTACCATCATCATGTTTTAGACATTCAAGTAAAAAATCCCAAATTTAATTTAATGATATAAACATGAACTAAAACAGAAGTCACTTTCTTGTAGTTATAGTTTGAATCATGTTCATTATAGGTCATGTGTTGTGTATTTATGGTGATTGGGTTGGGGAAACGGCAGCAGGCTTTCAGAACCGTACAGCTAATCCACGCTACTTATTTACTGTACCTGATGACGGAATGGCAGATGATGGTACAGTCCCCTTTGTAGTCCAGATTATCCAGAGAACAATACATCGTAAAAGTGATCGTTTTTCAATACGTTGTGATGTCTATCAGGTAAGATATGTAAACATAAGAGCCTAAGAAATAATATTATGGCTTTCGTAAAATACATATACCAAGTTAATATTTTATTTCTTGTAAATAGCAATATCGTAATAAAACTTCATACAATTCAATGTTAAACAAAAAAAAAGTCACGATGACCTATTGCTAACTATTCTTTTCATTGTGACATATAAGATATTTTTCTAATGTGGCTACCTTCAGTAGGGAAAAAGTATGGGCACTTTCCTGCTAATATGTTTAGCATGCAAATATTTGAGATGTGTGTTTTGTATGTAGGTATTAGGAGAGAAGATGTCGTCCAGCCCTCTTTATGTATTTGAGATGGTGGGTGGTGAGGAAACCAATGTTTATTCACCAGAAGTTCAGTCTACACATCGTCACCATATTAAACCAGGAAAATATGTGGTTATACCATCCACTATAGAGGCTGGACAAGAAAAAGAATATTTGATTAGAATTTTCTCTGCTGCACCTTTATCCGATGTTAGGTTAGTTAAAAGTTAATTTTTTCTACACTTTTACTGAGCTAGTTTAAAAGCATTAATGTACAAAAATGGCAATTTACCGAAAAAAAAAAGCTCCACAAAACAACATCAACAACAGTACTATCAATGAGTGGATGTTAAACTTTTTTCATTTATAAAGATATAGACCAATATTTGAGACGTTTCACCGAAAACAGAATTTACATCAAGGACCATCTACAGCCTTTGAACTTTATAAATCACAATTGTTAATACGTAGTGCATGAAAATGTAATGTAAAAAATGGAATTATTTATGAAATTATATTTGTAGACAAGTATCAAGACAGTCTGTAATAATGGCCTGTGATGAAGAGAAGGCAGTTGAATATCAGGGACAACAATATCAATTAGGTTAGATAGTTATACAGTTTATGCACATGTCAAATTTGCAGGAACAGCCTATTTTGTTCTGGATGGCATAAATTGTTTTTGGAAACTTTTTTACCAAATCACATTTTTATTGCAAAAACTGTCAAAAAGGACTGTCTTCTGTGTCCAAGAGTATGTATATATGTATATCTTTGTTCAAGTTATTTTCTGAACAGTCATGTATGAGGATGGTGTTGATTTTGGGAAAATGATAAATCTGATTAATTGAAAAGAACTTTGGAAGATCATGAAAGTATGATATATTTTGTGCTGACATGAAAGTAAGAGCTTTGTTTTATCTGATTCTCATTTTATCTTGTAGGTATATGTAGAACAATATTTGGGGAATGGATATATGGGGTCAATGCTGGAGGTCAAATATCTCATCAAGAAACATTTAGTAGTAATCCACAATTCCTTTTCAACATTCCTAACAGAGGTATACTCTTACTTACATAAATAAAAGATAAATCATTTAGTTGGATTACTTTTACAACAGTTCTTAACTCTTGTATACCTCCTTCCATTGATTCACTCACATTATCAAAACAACAATTCTTTGGCCTTTTTTAAAAACTTAAACTGAGGGAAAATCTAGATTAAAGAAGTACTGAAGTGAAATGTAATTGGTTTATAAAACTATATTCAAAATCTATTTTTCATGCTCAACTGATTCATATTTTTTGAAAATGACTCTATTGATGTCATATTTTCTGTACCTTCAGGAGATTATGAACCTGTAGTTTTTCATTTAATGCAAGAAAGTTTAAATGATAAATTAGCTGTTGGATTGAGAGTGTTTCCTGTAAGTTGCTTTTAATTGTTTACTTACTTGAATTAATGTTATTGCAGAATATTATTTAGTCTGTTGTCTATTTTTGGCAAAAAATAGATTAAGATAAGTTCGCTTCAGTATTTTATTAATTACATATCAAAAAAAAAACTATTCAAAAAAACTAAATCTGTCATACTCTTTCCTTCAGTATGATGGTTCATCTTCTCTCCCATTAGATATAAACTATATCTATAATAACTATGATAGCTGTCCACAACATTTAGAGGGTTCACAATGTAAATTTGTCATCACGTATGATCTAGATGTAAAGTATGTATTACCAGCAGGTCAATATGTAGCTATAATACACATGGATCAGCCAACAGACAGCAGAAAATATTCACTGGTTATTAAATCTAGATGTGATGTATCGATAAGGTGAGTTGTTTACAACTTGAGATTCTGATTGGTGAGAGAGAGATCTTGGTGTTTTGCGATTATAGATAATACATGATTAAAGACATACTAATTTACAATGGTGAATTTGTAAAAGTGCATAAGGTATTCACATGCAGAAAACGAGACTGCTTGCAGTTCAATCTTAAACTTCAGATTTCAGTTGCATCACTGAACAAATGTTTTGATAATTTGATAATGAACCAATACGATAATTTTTCTCCCATTCACTTCATCACATTTTCATTAATATCTTACAGATCATTTAACTCTGGTGAATGAATGGTGAAGTGGTAGAACTCAAAATACGTTTGAGTGAATCTCAGCTGTACACACTATACAATACAGCCTGCTATTATTGTTATAATGTACATTGTGCCAAATAATCAAAACTGCTGGAATCTATCATAAAATGGTCATTTGTGTTGAGATGAAAAAAAAATTTGTATAAAAAAATATAATACTAACAGGGACTAACTAGATATGCTGTAATGAGATGATTTAGAGCGAGTATTTCGACTAAACTGTCCAGAATCTTCTTCAGTATTCAAATTTCTCTGTTTATTCATAAAATATTTTTTGTTTTGTTATTTTTTATTAATTCTAAACTGTGATATTGTTATGTTTAATTTGTTATTTTAAAACAATTGATTGTTCAAATTTTCAAGCATTTTATTTATACTTCCATATGAAGCTATGCACAACTATTTATAGTGATGAATAAAATTTTGATGTAAAAAAAAAATGTATTGGTCTGTGAGTTGGTAGTGAAAAAGTGGTACAACTTTTATTTGTCAGAAGCATCATCGAAATATGGCACCACACCACAAATTTCAATATAATTTTTCAGGAGTCTTTAAAGAATAGATAACTACTTTCTTATGAAAAAATATTTATTTACAATTTGATAGCACTGAATGAATAATATCAACCCATAGTTTGATATTTATATTATTTGTATCATTTTAAAGTCAGACTTCAAAGGATCATACCTCTTAGAATGGACATAAAATTGCCATAGCTAAAGAATAGAATCTCTGTGTAAGAAGATATATCCATCCAACTAAATAATTATTGAAACACCCTTATAAGCATGTTTCAAAATTACTTAGTTTAATGGATTATTACTTAGTTTTTTTGGGTTTATTGTATTATAGACGGATTCCTTTGTATAGTTTTGACACCAGTTAAGTTCACTGATTATCAAAGACTCATTCTAACCAAGCTTTAAAATTTCAATTTTTTGGTCATTCTAAGAGATAGTAGACCTTTAACAATCTCAGTTGACTGTTTGAATGTCCTAATCCATTTGGAAAGTGATTTGTTACCATAGTATAATTTTCCCCACACTCTGAATTAGTCAGCAAATATATTGGAATATGGTTGATAGGCTGAATGTCCTATAGTTGTTGGTTGTGGCAGAATTTCTTCTATATTAGCAAAAACCAGGGGAATATACCCTACTCTACCACTAGACCATACCTACAAAATTTTAACAAAATTTAGTTTTATTAATTCAAGTGGGGGTTCTTGTTTACTTGTCATAAATCAGAAAAAAGTTTCCATAGTCCTTGCTATGGAACATAAATCTGTGGTCAAGTGTGTCAGCTGGTTAATCGAATACACTGTCACTGTCAACAGTGTATTTTCCAAAACATCATGGTACAGTAATAGTGATATACTTACTATAGTAAGAAGAGCACCTTGTTGAAAACTTGGTTGAAATGATATATGATGAGCCTTTTCACCATCTTCTCCCTTTATCAAACCACTGAAAATATCCAAAAATTCACATTATCAGATTAGCTAAAAGAGCATAACATCATCAGCTACTCCCATAATTTTGACCAAATCTGAGCAAGTATGGTATTTAAATTGGGTTCAAAAGTCATCTCTACAGATTGAGACAATGATGACACAATATATTACTAGTGCATGCTGTAGAAGATAATATAATATGTAATAAACTTACCAGGGTAGAAGTTCCAAAACCGGTTGGAGACTTGTTTTAAACACTGCTACATATTCATTACTTCCTTCTGAAACATCAAGTAACAAGTTTAGTCTTTTGGAAAATACGATAAGTCAAATACTAGACAATGACAATGAACTACTTCTTCTTTACTTAATCACAATATACTTACCTTGAAATAACACAGCCAATCTTTTACCAGTTTTATCCCACTCTATATTTTGTACACAACCTCCAATCCTGAAACAATATAAAGGCCATGCAAAGTGATTAAATAAAAAAGCCATGACATAAGGTCTGAGTCCCACAAATCTAACACAATCAACCTTGCTCTTGGACTTTGTAAACCCAGATGGAAGCTCTTGCAATTCACAAACTGACACATGCTTCTTCCAAATTGTTTTCGTCAGACCAAAACTCAAGTTTGAAAAGTCACGTACTTGACAATCGACCCATCATCCATCATGATTTCAGTTTCTGACATATCTGCTACAGGGACAGCCATATTGGATTTAGCAGACACATCTTGTGAGACAGTGTTCAGGTGACTTCTGCCAAAAGTAATAGAATATATAATAGGATCATTCTCCATGGTAAAAAGTAATATCTGATCATCTGGACTCCAACAAGCTGACTGAAATATAAAGAACAAAAATGAAATTATCCATGAAATAAAATCACAAATTACTGTCAATATAACTCAACATCTTTATCTGAAAATTCAATACTTGCATTTTTCAATATAATGAATTAAACCTTACATTACATCTGCCTGTCAATTTGGACCAAACTTCACAATTCCATGTTACAGCATCCCATACTCTGTTAAAAAAAAATAAAAAATAACTGCATGAATTCTCAAAATACCTGCATACCAACAATATACTGAAACAAAAACAAATAATACAGACAGAAAAACATAAACTACAAGCAAAATACACATATCTGGTTTCATATCTGTATTTTGGCATGAATTTAAAATACCGAGTAATTACCTGAAGATTGGCATTGGTGTAGCGGCTAAAACTCTGGTGCCATCAGGTGAAAATTTTAAAAGAGAAACACCACCACCACCAGCTCTTCTTAATGAGACACAGTTTTCCATGGCAACACTCCATACCTAAAATATTTTGAGATTCATTTAAGGATGGTCAATCAGGTTTGATAAACTATAAATTCAGAAACTAAATAATATATTCAAAACATGAATTCATATCAGCTGAATTCATATGAACTGATAGTATTCAGCTCAAGAGATGATAATACAAATATCACTTTTAAGAAACAATCTACATTAGAAAGTGTTTGTGTTGAGGTGTCTTCAGTAACAAACGTCTTAAAGCATTCTGGTGGTGGAAAGTTTCATGAGTTTTTATAATAGATTATTACACCTACCATAATAGCAGTATCGGTTGGAGAAGAAGATAATAGTAAGGAAGCCTGAGGATGCCAAGCTAAACTAGATATAGGACTATGACCAGTCTGACTTAATACTTGTACACAGCTAGATGAGGGTCTACAATACACAATCACAAGTATTTGAAGAATAATCTTCAGTTAGAAAACAACTTCAAACAGGATAAAATCCATCTAAATTGAATTTTAAAGCTATGCAATCATATACATGTATAAGATATATTTCAAAAATAAGTTATCCAATTTCATTTATTAAGTATATAGACTTACCTAGCAGCTAATGAATTTGGATCAACATGCCATACCAATATACAAGTTTGACAGGCCACAGCTAAAACTGATGATGATAATGGTCTGAAATCAACATAAAAAGATCTGGATTGAACAGGAGAAGATGACAGATTAAATTTCATATTTGAACTAATTTGTTGTATCAGAAACTGTTCAAATTCATGTTTTGTTCTCGGACTTAATACTATTGTATTTGTATTATAGGGTGAAAGCAGACACTGGGCTGACTTTCAGAAGCACAGGCACAGATATCAGAATTGTCCTTACCTTGAGGAGAATTCGATTGTATTGGTGTAATTGTTATAATCAAGCCTTTTCTGTAGCACATCATTGTCCCATTGTGTGAACATATTGTGCTTATTGTAATGTAGAGTTATAAAGAGGATCAAACTTACTGCCAGCTGAGATCTGCTACATACTTCTGTAATTTATGTTTTAATATAGGTGTCAATGTATTGCCTTGTGTATGAACTTTAATAGAATCATCATGTAAGGCATAGGCAAACTTTGTCACGTGCGGATGCCAGGCAAAGGCTCTTACTGGACTCTCCGACCTGTAATTAATTAATGAATGAAAAAATAAAAATACAAAGGAACCATTCTTCAATCTGTGATTAAATGTAATACAGAAACTCATGTTGCTCTTAAGAGTTGTCAGTGTTTTAAGATTAAACAATTATATTTACCAGTTTGAGATGAGAGTAAACTTAGTTAACATGTCTTCATTAGACAGCTGTGAAATAAATAATAGTTATTTATAGTTAATGTAAGTCTCTATCATATTACTATACAAAACACTGCACTGATTTCAGACAACATAAAATATTCAAACATTTTTCTTGAATGATATTTTAATTCTTAGGATGTAATAGATGTGTTGTGCTATGACTACATAATAAGTTATATAAACTTACTGATAAATGTGGAAAGAGACTACCATTTAAAGACGTAGCCCAGCGTAATAATGTTAAACATGTTGTTGACATGGTAGCTATTGTACCAGGCACTGAAATAAACAAGATTTATTCTAAATACCATATACCAAGTACTTTCCATTAACAGTTACACATTAGTTTAATAGAATACCAATATTATATATTATATGTTAAAATATATACAGTACCTTCATCTCGGCTATTTACCAATTCTTCAAAAGTACCAGTAAATCCATGTTCATACCTACAAATTTAAACAGAATACAATAAAATACAATGTTCTAGCTATAACAATGCCAAAATTGCTTTTTTTACATTATTCATAACTATAAATCCACTGAGCATTGAGCAATATAGGGATGTTGTGTCACTGAGAAATCTGCTAAAATCAAACAACTGACCCATCAAAAATGTCCACAAACTACACTAACTGAATATACCTACCAAGCGCTTAATGCTCTTTTCCACACAGTTTCATCGTGTGGTAGAAAGGCTGACTTGGCACTCTCTCTAGGTGTGGTATTTCTCATAGAATCAGGTTGAACTGTAACTTCTGGATAACCAGGACACTAAAAGACAATTATTTATTCACCAATTAATCATTGGGTAAATATCTAAAGCTTTCATTTTGTTAAATTTCCTAAAAGTTAAGAAATCTGTAGGCCCTATGATGTTCAAGGTGAAAGACTGAAATTTTGTATAAATTTATTTATTTAAAGAACAGTAAAAACAATCAAATAGGCTTCCATATTTGTTAGAGTTTTGTTTCGTTAAATAAACAAAACATCCTCACCAACACATAATCAATAAACAACATGTATAGAGGTAAAACAAAAGTATACCATAACTCTGTTATTTCAACTACCGGTACCGGTAATAATTGCTTACCAAGATTTGCAGGCTCTCTTTAAGATATTCTGATCCCACTGTTGTTAATTCTCCATTTGTTTCTGTGACTGTTACCTCCCCTTTTTTTGGTGGTGGAGGAAAATTCTTCATTGTTATAAATTTCCAAATGTAGATTCAAATACCAGCTAAAAAATTTCAATCCTTCATGAAGTTTCATAAAGGGCCTTAATATATCTAATAAACTCATTCATTTGTTATCAAAGCATCTTCATTGTCACTTTGGACCATTCAATTACAAAATACTACTGAGAGTCTTAGATTGTCTTTGGGTTGATGAAAATAATAACCACTGGATAAAAAAAAGTAAAAGTAAAAAGGTAAAAATTCAAGTAGAAAAGTAAATCTTTTTCACATGAATTTTACGGGAGGCAAATGTGTCTATTTTCAAAAGTAAAGTCAATGAACCTTATATTTCTATGGACTCGAAGACATTTTAAGACAAACACTAATATAGTAAAAAAATTATTTTGAATATTGATGAACATATTCAATTCAAAGATCAATACGACAATATGGAATATGGTCAGGACAGTAGTGAGAGTAGTCTGTAGTAGATCAACACAATGTCTGAAATATCTGATAGAATACAAGGCAGTGATAAGCTTTCAAAAGGTGAATGCTATTTGCAATGTAGTAATAATCTTACAAAGACACTATGATCAACTTTCCCTAAACCCCTAAAAAATAGTACAATTTGTTATCAAATCTCGCGCAATTCCGCTAGGTGTCACTATTGAAATGAGGATATCCTCAAGAACCAATAAGATTCCATTTTACGTCATCAAAGTCTCTTTCAGACTTGAATTTCCAGACAGAAAGCAAATGGAAAATCGTACTGGATAATTTTGATTAAAATGTGAACTCGAAAGTAGAATATCCGGTTAAACAGTTTCCTGCCGAAAAAAAGAGGTAAACATGAAATTTGGGGTTGATTATAACTGGATTAAAGTTTCTGATCTACATAGCGTAACAAAGTGGCATTGTCAGTGCCACCAATGTTGTTTAGAGGACTAAGTAAGATGTACTCACTACACACTTACAATTTGACTTTGAAGCTTACGTTCTGCCCAAGATAGCTATTTGCATGCATTCATGACCTAAAATTTTAATAGGATATAGTGAATATCTCAAAATGATTCTGCAATCATGAGGAGCATTACTCTTTTAGTTCATTTCTATTTTAACTTACATGTCTTTAATGTAAAATGTTGAAAATGTTGAATTATCATATAGGTTCTTAGTCTAATTATCAAATTGGTTTCACAGGTGATCAATATGGCTGTTAAACCTCAAGCTTGTACCATTAAAAAGTTAGATGAAGTTGTTGTTAACAGAATAGCTGCAGGGGAAGTTATTCAAAGACCAGCAAATGCTTTGAAAGAAATGATAGAAAATAGGTAATAGATATCTCAGACACAAGAGTCAAATCTGGGAAACAAATATATCTGTCTCATAGAAATATCTTCTTCTTCTGAGCACTAAACTCACTCCAATAATCTGGACTACCTATAAAAATATAAGCCGCAATGGCACTGAATTTAGCATTGTTTTTGTTATTCCGAGTGAATGATGAAATTTTTTTTATAGAGAAGACAAATGTCATACTAAAATGGTAAAGAATTGGTTGGAGTATGAAATTAATTCCATCATGTTTGTTTATGACAAATATTGAATATAAATATTTTGTGATTTCAGCCTGGATGCTGGTTCCACTAATATACAGGTGACAGTAAAACAGGGTGGTTTGAAATTATTACAGATACAAGATAATGGTAGTGGTATTAGGGTATGTTATCTTTTATTAATCAATAAAAGTGTAGTATGAGTGAGGCTGTAGCTCAATAGTTCATGTCTGTCATAAGTTTAATGACATTAATTTGCCTCATATCAATATGTAGTAGTAGTAGAATTAATTTTTCTTGTTTTAACATTTTTGTGATGATTATGAGGGTCACAAATTCAGCAATGTTAAAAAATACACTTTATTGTTATAGATATGATTTTATTACAGAAAGATGATATGAAAATAGTTTGTGAAAGATTTACTACCAGTAAATTACAGAAATTTGAAGATTTACAGAGTATTGCTACATATGGTTTCCGTGGTGAAGCTTTAGCTAGTATTAGTCATGTAGCTCATGTTACCATAACAACAAGAACAGCAGATTCTAAATGTGCTTACAGGTATACAAAGAAAATATATATATTTTTATCATTTTATCAGGCAAAAATTTTACAGCATTGAAGCCATTTCCCTTAGAATTTCTATTTCAAGATTTTTTTTTGGAAATGTTTTTCACTGATAATCTCTTTATAGGATGTTATTGTAAGAAAACAAGTGTTCTAATAACACTTTGGCTCCTTTAAATTATTAACTATTTGATAAAAGTAACATGTTGTAATAAAATTCTGTATTTGAATTGTTTTTTTAGAGGTTGCTATGTAGATAGTGAATTAAAAGATACAGTAAAACCATGTGCTGGTAATGTTGGTACTCAAATCACAGTAAGTTTTTTTTCAGCTTAAATATTAATTTACAAGACAGAATCAATTACAGGAATTATTTTTAACATTATTATTGTGTTCTGTTATAAATACAGGAATAAGTGACATTTAAGAGATTCAAAAAGGCACAAAAAACATAAATCTCACTTTTATTTGAAGGTGAATTTTAGGGTTTACTTTTTCTTTTCTTGAAGTACTTTAATAATTTTCTACTAAAGATAGAAGTGTATTGAATGAAAGTCAGTGGTATTTTGCATATGAGCAGCTATATGATATTACATGTAGTATTATACGACTAATTTATCTGATAGAGTTGACTTGAAATCATAATATAGGTTTGGTTGTTGCAGGTAGAAGATTTATTCTATAATATTGCTACCAGAAGAAAAGCTCTTCGTAGTCCAGCAGAAGAACATGCTAAAGTAGCAGAAGTTGTTAGTAGGTGAGGGTGAAATTTTGTTTGTTGTTGGTGAAGAATGTTTTACCATTTTCACCATCTTAATTGCCCTTTCATAGTGATGCAAGCCTTGACATATCGCGATATCTGGCATAAGGAAAATGGGCCTAATCTTTTGTCTTGGTAAAAAGAAGTCTACTGTGCTACAAGTAGTCAACCTCAGAGGAGAAACAGACTTAAACTCAACTGCTCTGTACAGTCTGATTATGAAAAGAGTAGATGATGTAGATAATATATTGCCTTATAAAAAAACATACTTTCTTTAAAAACTGAAAATCTAGTTGTACAACGGCATCAGTCATAGATCTTTAACATTTCTTTAAAAACTTGATAATTATTCTTGTTTGTTTTGCTTTAGATATGCTGTTCATAATTCTAAATGTGGATTTACATTGAAAAAGGTTTGTTGATTTAATTTGTTACTTGGTATAATTTTTTTTTTTTTTTACACAAAATGTTACAAAATAAAGGACATGTGATATAAAAGTTGTTAATTAAGAAACTGAAGTATTTAAGTTTAATTTGAAATTAGGTTTTGTATTTCATAGCATGGAGACAATATGGCTGATGTTAGAACACCCAGTAATTCTACATGTGTTGACAATATAAGAACAATATTTGGTGCTTCTATTGCCAGGTGAGTTTCAAATTTATTTTCTATGCATTCCACTTCACAGATCAATTGTTGAAAACTTTTTTGTATGTAAAACTTCTTAATCACTTACACTAATTAAAGCACTTATTTTCAGTTCGATATTTTAAATTCTTTACTTTAGAATTTGTTAAATTTGCAAATAGTAATGTTATATTCTGATAAGCTGATGTAATAGATGTTTTATACAATAATCATTTGTTGCAAATTTGTGTTGAATTTCTCTACTCAATCTCCTTTAATATACTTGTTACTTCCCTTTAATCATGATATGATGTCATGTTATATCTGACCCTGTTACTGTCATTTGCATGTTTTCATAATGGGTAAAGCATGGAATTTGCATTTCCAATTGAAAAGATCCAAGTGAAATTCTACTTTCACTTTGTATCAATGTATTTAGTGCTAACTATTTTTACCAGTAGGCCGTAATACTGTATTCATTTCATTTACTATATATTCAAATTGTCATGTGGTCACTTGACTTTAGTTGTTGAAATGTTTATAAAGGGAAAGTAAAGAGTTTTTCTAAAAAAAATTGTATGCATTCCGGGGACACTAATAGCATCAATTTGCACCATTCCAATTTTCAACCAGACGTCAGTAAGAGCAGATGATTGAAGACTTTTTGTCTTTAAGTGGGTTTTGAAGTATTTCTTAAGAGAACCGTGGTGCAAAATGCATATTTTTATGACTTTTTATGAAACATTAAAAACAAAAGCGCTAGGTATATTGTTTATTTCAGCATTTATTTTATTTTTCGAATGTTTTATTGTGGTTATCTGCTTCTACATTAGTTAGTACACTCATCGAGGAGGTCAAATCTGACCTAAACAAAAAATCGATAAAAATTTATAAATAATGTTTTTCAGGGTGTCTGGCCTTAGGTGGACATAGGTAGTGACTAGTTTTTATTAAGCTGCTCACAAACCTGGCCTCTATTCCTCAAAAAATCTTTTCATAGAAATTTTGCTGCAAGTGTGACATTTTACTTAGAGATGACATCATTTAGGACATAAGTTGGTTGTATTTGAACAAAATGGGAGCTTTTGTTGGATCATAGCATGATTGACAGATTAATACTAGTAAAACTTTAAATGAAAATATGTTTGTGGCAGGTAAAACAAGGGAGAGAGATAGTGTGTGCTATTTAGAAGGCTTATTATTGATATAATGTCCCTTATGTTAATTTGAATGAGAAAGTTAAGACCTCTTTTGGAAAAATTATCATCATTGCACTCTGCTTACTTAACCTTCGCCTACATAATCCCAGGTGCTAAATAAAGCTTGTTTCATTCTAGAAGATGCTAATCGCTTCAATAGCCATTAACAAAATAAAATCATTGGTTTTTATGGTGCAGTGCAGACTTAATTGTTTTCTATTTATAGAGAATCTCATTGAATTCTAATCTATAATCAAAACAAAAATATTGATAAAACTCTGATGCGGCAGAAAGTTTTTATGATTTGTCTGCTGTTTCAATAATGATTATACAAACTTTACCTACTGTTATATCAGATATTATATATATGGCCTTGGTTATACCTTTTTAGTAACTTCATAAGTCTTTGCAATGCAAAGTTTTCATGTAGTAACCCCTGACATTTTTATACGCCCACATGTAAGTATGGGCGTATATTGTGGTTGCCCCTGTTTTCGTCGGTCCGTTCACATTTACCTCGTGCACACTCTACAGGCTACAATTCTCTATTGATTCTTTTGATCTTTTGTATGTGTGTCAATATCATTATGAAGATGTGCACTATTGAATTTGGTGATGATCCGATGATTTTCTTGAGAGATATCGCATAAAACTCTGATATCGCATTCGTTTTTTTTTCTTCACTTTTTGGCTCGTGCTCACTCTACAGACTACAGTTCTATATTGATTCTTTTGATCTGTTGTATGTGTGTTAATATCATTATGAAGATGTGCACTATTGAATTTGGTGAGGATCCGATGATTTTCTTGAGAGATATCGCATAATACTCTGATATCGTGTTTTTTCACTTTTTTGGCTCGTGCTCACTCTACAGACTACATACAATTCTCTATTGATTCTTTTGATCTTTAAAAAAATTTAGAAATTTATTAAATAGCGTGTGTTTGTTTAAATCAACTATATCTTGCACAAATTAGATTCTTGGTATGATTTGACACAGGTAGATGACTGCCCTTGATATACTGAAAATTTATCAGGAAAGTGGGCGTATCTTGCTAGGCAACCACTTGTTTAGCTCGTGCTCACCCTACAGGCTACGATATAGAGTTTGTTTTACAGTTCACATTTATCAAGCTCTTGGTGGGCGTATTCGCTTGCGAGAATTGCCGCAAGCCTATGTTTTCATCTTATTTTAGTAGTAATGACCTTTAACCTTATAGTAACAACATGTTTGGTACTATTGTATATTTTGTTTATGTCATAGAATAATGCATAAAAATTAATTGTAACAGTAAATCTACTTTAATTTTATTATGAAACAAAATGTTAAAAATGACAATGATTTTGTTCTGTGGCTAACATCAATTGTTGTTTTCAATAAAATGATGAACAATAACGAAAAAAGAAAATTAAAATAAAAAGTTACACATTTGTAACATTCATGTTGTTATTGATGCAGTTTTCATCTTTTATTGAATTAAAACTTGGAATGAGTTCATATCTGCCTTCATCTTCTGTTGTAAGTATGTCACCATTGGCAACTGGATTAAAATTGTCCACAGTTTGTAGACGTGAAATTCTGGTATTGCAGCGTTCATGTTTGCTAATAAAGCTGTGAGATGGTTTATGTTTATAAAAATGACAAACTCGTTGAAATATTCTTCTGTAGCCTAATTGGACGTTTTTAAGACGTACTGCATAAACAATTGGATCACATAACGCATTGACTAATAAGAGTAAGTTTAAATATCGATTGGCTTTCAATAGAGACGAATACATTTTTTTCACAACAGCAGAATTAATGCGGACTTGTATAACCAAGGCAACTTGAAAGATGCAAGTTGGTAGCCAACATAGTACAAATGTTCCAATGATTAAGAGACTGGTTAATAAAGCCTTTCTGTTACGTGAGTAGTCCAGATCAGATCGTGCACCTTGACTATAAACACGCCTCACTTCAACATATATTCTCAGATAAGTGTATATTATGACGAAAAAACACACAAATGCAATGAAAAATACTAAATACTCTCCATGAAAATCATTCTGTTGAACATATTCACAGTAGTTCACTTTATCTGAATATTTATTATAGTCTTCAATGTCACCCAAAAACACAGAAAACCCTCCAGCAAGGGCAATGATCCATATAATCACTATAAGCATGTTTCCACGAACTTCATTAAGGTAATCTCCATAGTGTAGAGGGTTGGTAATAGCTACATAATGGTCTATAGCTACTGCCAATAAGTTTAATAACGAAATCATGGTAGCTGCTGTGTGTAAGGCGAATGTAAATAGGGTCATACAAGAAAATGTCAGACGTTCACTTGGACCGTCTGTAAAACTGGGAACGTTGGTGAAAACTTTATTAAGAATGTGGATGAGAACGCTAAAACTGACCAGTATATCTGACAAACCTAAACTTATCACAAGCTTCATATGGGTATTGATCATGTTTGGTGGTCCAAACACTGTTGCACATATAGACAAACAATTAGCGATGATTGTTAGAAAACACAAGACCAATGATATGATGGAGGTTGGTTGAGATAAGATAATATAAGCTCTTTCCTGTAGAGTCAGTTCCGATATAAACATAAACTCATTAACTTGACTATTATTATGTATCCCATTCACTATAATGTTATCTTTTGTCATGTTCAAATATTCATTAGCCTCCATTGTCAAAAATTCTTACTAGATTTTTATCTATGTAGATTCTTTTAATTTTGCAACAAAAACACAACCAGCAAACATAATACTCGTGAATAGAAAAAATGGGAAATAGAAACAATTAAATGACACTTTTGTCAATCTTCTTTAAACTTGACATGACTTTTTAATCAGTTCTCCATTATTATAAGAAAATTGTGTTATAGAGAGTTATCGTTGGAATGAAAGAAGATGATGTAAAGTAATATACAAGTGTTCAACCATTATTGTCACAAATTGAATATTCCTCTTCTATTCTGTCAAGTTAGTCAATTCTGCTTCAATAACAAGGTATTGGCTTCATTGATTCCTGAAAATAGATTGAAAAATAGCTTTATTAGCAAATAAGAAAGTTTATACTGGTAACTGTAATTGAAATAGATTGCTGATGGCAGTTGACCTTTTTGTAGCCTTATGGTTCCTGAAATTAAGAAAAATAACAGATTTAGATGGATTCTACTTTAATTTAAATTCCAAACATGAGTTGAATTGTTTTTTTTCTATTCTAGTAAAATTCAAGCTTGAGATCTGATTCAGTAATCCTTGGTCCATAAATTTACAAATCGAACTCCAACCAAAGCTAACTGGTGGAATCTATAGTCATTTGATAAGTAATACCAACATAAGCCCTCTGTTACTCCGTGTTCAACAATAAAGTTTCAAAAATTTAAAAACATTTTACTGGTAGCAGATTTTTTTATGTGATAATATAAAATATATTATTTAGACACTACTGAGTACTGGTCCAAGAAATTGTGTAATACCAGGGGTGAAAATCTGTGTGTAAATCTGCTGCATTACTTTTAGTAAGCATTATAGTCTCAAAATTCAAAATTATCTCAAGGCCTGTGACTCTTACTATAGCCTCTGTTCTTAATATATATATGATAGTTATCAGTGGAAGCTGTATTTATTGGGAGTATCCAGGCATGAATTATCTTCAATCAATATGCTATGTGTGTCTGTACAAAAATGAAACTAGTGGGTGGTAAATCAATCTGATTGTTATCTTGTTAAAGTATGGAATAGGTTTACTGTTAAAACGGATAATAATTAAATTAAAATAAAGTTGTGTAAATGTTTTTGTATCTACTTTTATCTACTTCATCA